TTAAACTTGTTTTTTTGTGTGATTGTAACAATTTATTGGTTTTGTAATAGTGGACGTAGGATTCTTGTGATCTGTATAAAATCATCTATGCATTTTTCTCTCTTCCCTTACTCTATTATATTTGTTTAAATTATCCTATAAATTTATTTTGAGAAAAAAATTATAAAAGCCACATGTTTAGGATAAGAAACATATTTACCCTCTCTTGGTTTATTTGTTCATGCTAATCATTCTTTTCCACTAATCGACATTAATCACTTCTTTTTCTACTCATCCTTTAATGAATTCATTAGAACTTTCTAGTTCAAAATTTATTAAAATATTGAGTGAAACTTTACTTTAACTTTTTATACTTAGTTGAAGAGTCTAGAGTTTTTGGTTTTTGTAGATTGATGAGTGTTACTGGTATTATTGTAAGTTTTCTTATGTGGTTTCTATTTGAGTTTTCTTATTGTATTATAAAATACAATAAGTTCAAGATAGGAATTGTTCATTAATTATAATAATATATTATTGTTTCAAAGTCCCAATTAATTGGAGTGTCGAACTATTTACTAAACTGTCATCTAGGACAGAAAATCGGAAGATATAATCTTGAAAGATCGACCCGATCCTTGTTCCAAAAAAAAAATTTGAATTAACTACTTACTAAGGTTGAACTTCCGCATGACTAAGCACGACTTTATGCATACTTGATTGAGAAAGCATTCTCCATTTTTTTCTATTCCACAAAACAAGATACCCGTTAAAAGAAAATATAAAAATGTCTTACTAAACGTACGTAAATTGGCACACTTGATTTCCCCACAAAAAAGACTACCATGCAAAGAAATAGGTCTAAACTTTAAACCCTTTTTGGAATATTTAAATAAACAGTAACATTTGCCGAAGTTTGATCAAGTCGAAATTCGGGCTTATCACTGCCATATTGAAGTTGCTAACTTTGACATCACTGTACAATGTAACTAGTGACAGAAATGCACAAGATTTTCGAAAAGTATGACTAAAATAAAATGGCAAGTAATGCTGTACAATTAAACACAATGATATAAATTACAAAAAAAAATACAACATATAAATCCACCAGAATCCTATCAATTTTCTATTTCTATATCTCCTTTGATATCTATATGTTAATAGATCATCAAATCAACAAGTTTGGTCTAATTTTGGAAGTTTAGTGATTGCAATATCTCCATAAGCTTCGTTTTGCTCCACATCTACATAGCCAGTAGTTTTAAGAACCTGAAAAACATTACACAGTAAACAAATGAAAACAATTTCATATAAAAAATACACATATTTTGGTTCGTTAGGAGGTCCATCTCATGAATCATGAGTAAATGTGGTCTTACATTAATAGCCAAAAAATTAAAAATAGAAAACAGTAAAAAATTACAGTGATATATCCAATGAGGTTTCTTGACATAGCTCATAACTTAGTATCGACAACAGTATAATGTTTTTCTTGGAAGACATGGTGTGTAAGCATATATATATATATATATATATATAAAAGAAATGTCAGTGTAATATATTTCAAACAAACGGGTTGCGCAGGTGCGAAAAGAGGAGTAATGAAACCCAGGATAAATATGTGTAATTTACTCAAAATAAAATGTTGCAGTCCTAGTTTAATCTAAGAATGGACTGGTATTTCGACCTTCTTGGGCTAGGTTTGCACCAGAAGAAACTTCGGTAGATGTTGTGGCTCAAGATTTAATGGATTATGATGAATCTCTAAAGCAATTAAAATTTCATTTGGAGTGAGCACAACATTAAATGACACATTATGCTTATGCTAATAAGCACAGTAAGATATCCTAGCACTGATAGAAGCACGGGATTGAGTATATTTGAAGATTAGGTCTCATAGGCGGACTACCATGGTTATAGCCTCAAAAGGCGGACTCCATCCTAAACTAGCAACCAGATATTTTATGAACCCTATTTGGTTTTATAACAAATTGGAGAAATCGCATAAAAGTTATGACACTGAAAGAGTTTTCAAGTAATGATTTATGGCAGGCACATACTTTCAACTAACTGTTTCATGTTGGAAAAAAATGATTAAACTAAATAACTAAAAAGTAAATTATTGACAGGATAAATTTGTTCAATATGGTTTCTAAGATAGAGCAAAAGGACAGACATATATTCCAATCGGACAACATAGTTGATCCATTAAATGAAAGGGCGCCACCCTCAATAAAAAGTTATTGGAAGTACATGATTATTCTATCACAAACCAAATGGACTACAATGTACTTTTTCCTATTATCATCACTCAAAAAAGTAGAGTTAACAAATATTAAGAACATATTTTCATCCTTTAAAGTTGAAAAGAATGTCATCTACTGAACAAGAAGGGTAGTAAACACAAGAAAACACAATTCAGATTTCGGCACAGAAAATGGGAAAGAAATTTGATATAAGAAAAGTAGTCACCAAACTTTTTATATGGATGAACATAATCTTGAAACAAAAAGTTTAACATACCAGTACTTCATAAAATAGCCTTGCCCCTTCTTTTCGGGCTAGGCCTCGAAAAACTTTTGAGAAGTTTAGCACAGTCTCCTCTTTCTGATTCCTTGCAGGTAGAAAACTCTGATGCAAGTAACTTGCTACATATCTGAACATCATCAAAGAACACCATCATAAGTCAATCTCAAAACAACAATGGAACTATTGGTATTCCAAAAGCCAACTACAATCTCACCTGGTTCGATCAGACCACCCAACTACTGTAGAGAAAATAAATAAAGACATCATGTACATTTCGGAAAAACATTGCATTCAACAAAAATTATAACAATTTATAGATGGAGATTTGCAAGAGTTCTCACTTTTCACATTATCTGTTCCAAATGAATTTATTTCCTGAGATAAACATAATAAATGCAAGGATACATCAATTAGATCATTGTATAAAAATATGGAGAAAATAAAAGAAAAACTAAAGTGGGGCTTTTTCATTAAAATAATAGATATACTCGAGAAGAACCTAACATTCCAAGAAATGCAGTCTCACATGTACATCTGGTAAAGCCGAGTGGCCAATTTTTTTTTTCTTTTTCTCAGCAAAGAGAGTTAATGGAGCGAGACTTTTTTATTATACAGTGAGAGAGGAACTTAGATTTGATTCATACGTTTAACATATTTTATATTTTTATGACAGTAAAAAAGTTATTTTATTGGATGAGAAAGACTTCATTAAAGGACCAGAGAAAATGGAATCTGTTAGGCAGGGAAATAATGAGTGGAATGTGCATTATAGAAGGAAATTTAGAAATAAAAGGGAGTTATGCGGTTAGTTGTTTTAGGGCAGAGACTTTCTAAGAAAGTCTATAACCAGTTTCCCTTTGGGAGGTGTTAGGGGGTCTTCTTTTTTGTACTAAGAGTCCTTGACTTTTGTGACAATAAATACCCTGTTAGGTTTCTGAACGAGAAACCTAGCCAAGAACTCCCTCACACTCTCTCAAAACAGTAGATAGGAAAGAATGAAATGAATCTGTATTATTCACAGTAAGAAATTGTCTATACAATCACAATCCAGGGGCATAATCCCCTTCACAGGTCTAATGAACCTGTCTACGATCAATATCCCAAAACTCTCCTCTCTACCAGACCCCCCTTGCCTTCTTATAAAGGCAACCCACTTCTAACTACCCAACAACAATTAATTCCTAAACTGAACAATTAATTCCTAAATTGTTTTCTCTCTCCTACACACCTATTACTCATTATAACCTATCATATTATACCTTATCATTACACCCGCTGCAAAACAACCTTGTCCTCAAGGTTGGAACCGGAAAGCTTGATTTCATGGCTCCTCTTCATCATCGTGTTACCATATGAAGGGAACCCACTGGATGCTGTCCTCCAATTCAGGTATGGAGGCTTGGGTGGTGGCAAATCCTCCTCCAATGACTTCCACTCCTCCTGGATTCTTTTAGCCCAATTTTGTGAAGTCCTCAAAATCTCAACTCTGACTTTATCGACTCTTGTAGCAACAACACTTTTGGCAGCTGCTCCATCCACTTGCAAACTCTCATGAAAAATTTTCACACTCCCCATCTGTTACTGCTGCCCAACTCTCACATAGAATGCTTCTTTTGTTCCCTTCAACTATCTTTAGTAGAATTGTGGCCAGATTTTTCCAAGAAAGGTTCTTGGATTTTTTATGCCAAGTCTTGCACCCCTGGACTACATTTTCTTTGCTGTTTGGGTGTGCTTTTGTTGCTCCTTTGGTGTTTGAACTGTAGAAGCATTGGCTGCCCCTGTTGTTTGATCTTTGGTGTCAATCCCTTCATAAGTGGTCAACTCTTCTCTTTTCACCCACGAAAAAAATGGTGTCTCCTCACCTTTCCTAGCTCCATTATTGTCAATGACATCCTCTTCTTTTTGCTCCCAATTGCTTGAATTTTCTCCTCCACCTGAGTGTTTCTTTCCTTTCTTCATATCTTGCAGCAGGTCCTCTCTTGCCCTGTAAACAGACTCCACTGGGTTGCTCTTTGACACCACTGTTTTAACCCCAGGCCTCAACAATTCTTCCCCTTTCTTTACTGTTTTGACATTCCCACCACAACCTACCACTCTACCTCCACTACCAACAACAACTTTTGCAACTTTACCTGGGAAACAAGAGTCACAACCTTCCCATCATGATCTTCACCTGATGTATTTTCCCTACCAACCTTTGTCACGCTATCCACCCTTGCAGCAGAAACTTCTGCAACTTTCTCAGCAGCAGCTTCTGTAACTCCTGCAGTTTGGGCTAACTTCTCAAAAACAGAGCCTCTATCTCTTTCTCCGAACCCCCTTATCAATGCCTCTTTCAGCCCTTTTCAAGAAAGGTTCTTGGTTTTATTTTTCCAGGCCCTGAACCAATAAATTGTGCCTCCCTCCATGCAGCTGTAAGCCAACCTGAGCCTCTCCTTCTCTGTGACATTTTGGGTGTCTAAAAACTTCTCAACCTGAGAGATCCATCCCAACGGGTCCAGCCCCTCAAACCTGGGCAATTCTACCCGCTGCCTCCAATTCTGTTCACCCCTATCTTCCTCCAGCTCTTCTTCTAAACCCTCTTTTTGTCCTTTCATGACAAATTTCTCACTTCTTTCTGAGCCCTTTATGTGAATCTTGATTTCTTGCAGCATTTCTCTCATTTCTTGCATATTTCTTCTCCATTCTGCCATGCTCATTTTCGATTCGTTGGTCCTCCTCTCCAAGGTATTGTCTCTTCCTTCCATCATGCTTCTCTCCCAAAGATCCAACACTCCTCTTGATAGACGGGCCTAAGCTCAATTAGTTTAGTGTAGTATTTCTTTTACTTTTATTAAAGCATGTGTAAAAGGTGTTAGGCATGTGCTAGATAGGAGGGACTTTTAGTCCTATATATAGACATGCCACCACCTTTTGTAAAACACTTTTGAGAATAATAAATTAAACTTTCTATAGAGAGATTCTTCCCGGCCACCTTCCATTCACGCTTATCTTTCATTTCCCATTTACACTTCAGATCTCTCTCACCTTCACGCAACCACCGCTCCACCACTCATTTTCAGCCTCGTGGCCTGCATCTACTGCCATGCACACATTTTATTCTCGCTGCCTCGTCATATGCGAGCCACATCTTCACTAGTCTCTCAAGAGTTCCAAAGCATACATCTTATTTTCTCTCGAAGCTTCACTCGTCACCAAACCACGATTTCTCTCAAAGTCTTCCATGCTCTTCACTACCTCTCCGTCATCGAACCACATTTTCGATCTCTTCAACCTCAGATCTGTATCTTCACCGAACTTCGTCACGAGCCTAGGGATTTCTTCCGCCTCTAGGTTCTTCCTTAGTTTTCCCTCAGTTCCACCGATTAAATCCTCCCTTACCTTCAACCCTAGAGTTTTCACCGATTAAACCTCAATCTAGGGTTCACTATTGGTTTTCTCCGTCTTCTGCTGTGCTGCTCATGGTTCCTCGCCGATCTGCCTCGACCTGGAGCTATCATGTGGTATCAGAGCTCAGGTTCCTCCGCACTTTACAAGCTAAGTATCTATATTTTGTGTTGTATCATTTTTCTCGATTTGATTCTGTCTTGATTTGATCGCGTCCCTAATCTGAGTTTTACTTTCGTGATGATAGTTTTTCTTGCGTCGTCATGGAATTCTCAAAGTGTTTTGCCTTTATTCAGTTTCAGTATGTGTGTTTTCTCTGTGTGATATTCAATTTTCATGTTTAATTTGTCATTTTCGTGTTGTTCAATACATTCCTTCTATTGTCTTGCTGATTTGAGTCTGTCTTCTTTGATTGAGTTTTGTTTCTTTCAATTCAAGTTGATCTGTTCACTGTTATGAGTTTCGTGTTTAGGATTCTATAATTTTGCGTATGTGTGTTTTCTTTACTTTGAGTATTGTTCATCATTTTCATCGGTCCAAATTTTTATTTGAGGATCATATTCTGTCTTGTCTATAGTCATGTGCATTGGTTGAAACTGGTGCAGTTTTTGATCTGTCCTAAAACTGATTTCAATTGTACATTTGATCGTCAAATTGTGTTTGAGCCTTGGTATAAACTCTATCAAACCACAAAAGCAATGACACATTCAAACGAATGAGCTGGTTGATAGATATCCATTGGTCAGTCCAATTAATTTTTTAAAGTTGAAACTGTTTTAGTCCATATTCTTTTGCTACATTCATTTCTGGATTTTGAGCTGCTGTTAAAAAGCAAGTGCATACTGCAAAGATCAATGAAAGGCATAGCCTAGATCAGTAGCACGTTGTGAACACAGCTTAACATTGTTGTAGCAGTTGGCCGATCTGCACATTCTTTGCTTGAGTCCTTTTTTTATGTTTTTAAATCTGTTTTGGCATTTAGATCATTGCTGGACATCTTGCATTAATTTTCTAGTGTTTTGTTCAAGATTTAATAGATATTCCTGTGTCCAGAAAACTGTGAGAAAGCTTTTTGAATCATTGAGTCAAATTTTGGTG